CTTCCAAAAGAGGACGATATCCGCTTCGTCATGCCTAGAGCTGATCTGTGCTGGTCGCTGAGGGACTACATCAACTTTCACCGTGGACGAAGCGGAGTCCAGCCCGGGGTCCGTCACATGTGGTTGCAGCTCTTTCGTCTGATCCGCCGGCCGCGCTGTTCTCGACCCCGCCGCCTCAGCTCACGCTAGCCCGGCCTCAGTGCACGCCAAGCCGGGGCTTCCCCTCACACTAGGCCGCTGTGTTTTTCGTTGTGAAAGCGAAACTACTTTGTTTGGTCTTCCAAAAGAGGACGATATCCGCTTCGTCATGCCTGGAGCTGATCTGTGCTGGTCGCTGAGGGAATACGTCAACTTTCACCGTGGACGAAGCGGAATCCAGCCCGGGGTCCGTCACATGTGGTTGCCGCTCATTCGTCGGATCCGCCGGGCGTGCCGTTCTCGACCCCGCCGCCTCAGCTCACGCTAAGCCGGGGCTTCTGCTCACGCTAGGCCGCTGTGTTTTTGTTGTGAAAGTGAAACTACTTTGTTTGGTCTTCCAAAAGAGGACACAACTACAAATCAGTGGTATTTACAACACTGTTCCAGAACAGTTTAACCCAAATATCCAGATGTGTGCAGCGCATTTTATGGAGGACTGTTTACTGATCCTGGGAGAGTAACGTTAGACTAAAATGCCGGCAGTTCTGACTCACGTAAGTACGTTTTCATTTAAAGGATTAGCCACTGATGATTCAAACGCGAGTTTTGGGCAGTGTAGAGTAGCACTTGTTGCTTGTCATTTCTCTGATCATAAATGCAGACAGAGTTTTATGTTTACACGGCGCAATGCAACGCAACACGTAAAAAGACAGTATTAAGTCATTATAATCAGTAATTATGTCCCTACTTGATGCAACAAATGCCTCGTTTGTAATGGGTTTTATGTTTTTGTCGCCACGTGATTTCCCCGTTGATTCTGCGTCGCGATCTGCTCTAAACAGCTGAAAGCACGGCAGACTCAACGTGCTGTCCGGAATGGCGTCTTTCAGCCAGGTTTCTGTGAAACACAGAGCAGCAGAGTTTGAAAAATCCTTATTTGTCCGGGAGAGCAGAAGAAGTTTGTCCGTTTTGTTGGGTAGAGAGCGGAGATTTGCCAGATGGATGCTAGGCAATGGCGTTCTGAATCCGCGCTGTCTGAGCAGGCTCACTATTGGCTGATTCAGAGAAACTGATTGCAGGGATATAACTAAAGACAGGACAAACTAACAAAAACATAAAAACAACTGCGGAGCACGCCACGGAGGCAGCCATCATTGGTAATATTAAGACTAGGTCTCTGCTCCTAAATTAAGAGAGCTGAAGAGGCCTCCTAACCTAGTTAGGAGTAATAAGATGGCAGCAAAGAGGAGGAGACAAACACTTTCCAGTGAAAATATGACATATTGGACTTATATGATAATATGGAGTTGATAAAACGATACAAACTTGATTGTCAAGATCAAAAAGTTTTTTTTTTTGGTAACTGACAAAGTTAGAAATTTAATAATAATAAAAAAAATGTCCAAGATTTTGTAAGAATATTGCATTGTTGCTTAGTCAGTTGTTTTATTTGTGGTGATAATGCAATGAAACATGCCAAATTGTGCGGTCATAATTTTTGGACATGCCATCATACAAAAAAAATTATGAACACATGCAAAAACAAGAGGACCAATGAAATGTAAATAACGTATGTTGTAGTCAGTGTGCCAATGTTGCCAATTTAGTGATTTTGTCACTAGATTTAGTGACTTCCGCATCCCTCATTAAGTGACCAGTTTTAGCTACTTTCAATTGAAAGCAGTTGGCAACACTGGTCAGTGTTTTTTTTTGTCCTTTGTATTTTAATGGTATAAGTGAAATGTTGGGTCATTAAAAAATAAAAATAAATCCACACATCACTTTTGGCCACTGTTGTGTTTGGTGGGGTTAGTGCCACAATATGTAAGACCCTGCTTTCAGTGTCATCGCCGGTGCATTGCTGCATTTTTTCCAATTTTCCAGCCAAAAAAATTTAATTACTAATTTCATTTCTGCAGTTAGAGCATTGACTTGAGTGGAAGAGGTTAAGGGTGAAGATGTCAAATTTCCTAGGCCGGACATCACTTTTGGCCACTGTTGTGTTTGGTGGGGTTAGTGCCACAATATGTAAGACCCTGCTTTCAGTGTCATCGCCGGTGCATTGCTGCATTTTTCCAATTTTCCAGCCAAAAAAATGTAATTACTAATTTCATTTCTGCAGTTAGAGCATTGACTTGAGTGGAAGAGGTTAAGGGTGAAGATGTCAAATTTCCTAGGCCGGACATCACTTTTGGCCAGTACTATATGGCAGTTTATTGACTTTCCAACTGACTGCCAAACAATATTGCAAAAACAAGCCACTTTTTTGAGGATTGTGGGCTTTCCTGCAGTTGTTGGAGCCATTGATGGAACTCATGCTCATGTTCAATGATGATTGCTCTAACTGTAAATGAGGAGACATACCAATAGAAAACAAAGCATCAGTAATAATTTGTGATAATTTTGCACAATGCAAAGCATTTAAAAAATACATTAAAATACATTAAAATATTTCAGTGTCTTAAATGCATTAAATGATTGGTGTTGTGCTGCTGTGACTTCACATGAGCAGGCTCACTATTGGCTGTTTCAGAGGTTAAGGTCAGCCATTTTGTGTTGACATCATTGTAATCCTTAGTTCACAACACTTAAGTGTCACCTCAGTCAACACTTAAGAATCAATCTTAGACTTGGACTACTGAAAGTTGCTTTTAGCTTCTTTATAAAAGTCTCCTACTCTTAGAAAAGTCCTACTTTTTACTAAGAATGTTTTGACGCTTAAGTCAAAGCTTAAAGGGATACTCCACCCCAAAATGAAAATTTTGTCATTAATCACTTACCCCCATGTCGTTCCAAACCTCTAAAAGCTTCATTCGTCTTCAGAACACAATTTAAGTTATTTTGGATGAAAACCAAGAGGCTTGTGACTGTCCAGATCTCATCATCATCCAGTCTGTGTGGAATAACATGAAGAAACAGAACAAAGTGAGACAGACTAAATCCAGAAGAACTGTGGCAACGTCTCCAAGATGCTTCAAGAGACCTACCTGCAAAGCTCCCTGAAAAACTAAGCACAAGTGCACCGAGGGAAAAATCTGCTGTAAATTCAACTTATTTTCACACCAAATTTTTATTCTATTTAGCTTATAGTTAATTTATAAAGAAAATCTATTTATGACATTATTTTTGACAGCGTCCTCATTTTACAGCATTTTTGCAAGTGCCTAAAACTTTTAACAGTACTGTAGCTTTGCAGGGAGGTTTCTTGAAGCATCTTGGAGACGTTGCCACAGTTCTTCTGGATTGAGTCTGTCTCAGTTTGATGTAATTCCAGACAGACTGGATGATGATGAGACCAGGGCCCGTATTCACAAAAATTAGTATCTTACCAAGACTTCTCCTAAATAGCAGTAAAAGTTTTGAGCAAAGAGTTTTCTCTTAAAAACCTATTCACAAAGCTGCTGAGACAAAGGAATAGAAAGAAGTCTTAAAGGTCCCATATTGTCAAAACTGAAATTTCCTGGCGTTTTTCATGATAACTGAGGTGTAGGTGCAATGTAACTACCATATAAGTTTCAAAACAGTCAGTCCACAGTAAACTGCACACAGCCTGCACAAAGTAGCTGTGATTTTTCACAAACCGTTGTGACGATATGCAATCAAATTTCTAATTTGAGGCTGTATTACATCGATTCTGGCACCCAAAATCACAACAAGATGATATTTTAAGCTCCGTATGTAGCCGAATCTGCGCTGGTTTGAATGGGCCGTTTTGCTGCCTCCAGCTAGAGCTGTGACGACCCTAGTTACCTGTGGTCGGCCTGGCCATGCGTCACTCAGAACACAACAGGCCAATCAGAAGAGAGGCTCATGAATATTAATTAGACAGACCAAAATCGACCTGTTCTCAGCAGAGCTCTTGAGAAAGGAGCTGTAAAAATATATTGAGATGGTTTTTGGTACTTATACCACAAATATATATTCTTAAGGACATCAAAACCTCAAATAAAACTCCAGAAAGGTGTAAAATATGGGACCTTTAAGCTAAGAGTAAGGGGCGGGGTTGACCTTTGGATTGCTATGGACGATGTCAGCATGCTTATTAACTATGCACACAGTGATTGGCTGATAGGTGAGGGATCTCTGTCAGAGATTTATTCATAGAACAAACACAAGACCGAAAACACATTCGTAAGCAACTGTTTTACAATTTTTTTTTTTATAATAATAAAAAAAAAAAAATAGTGAAACCGTGAAAAAAGGGAATCGTTTTTATATAAAATTAACCATTTGAACGAACTGATTCGCTACAATGATTCTGACTTCAAAACACTGTAGTTCAAAGCAATGCATTTACATGATTTTGCATCAGAACTGGAAAGATTTCACCGACCTAAATTATATGAAGTAAATGAAATAATTAATATTAATGTTTTTTTTTGTCGTATAACATAAACTTGTCACGTGCCTTCTGTCTGTGTAATTAATAATTGACAGGTTTAATATCCTATCACTTCCTACGCAACAGCTCTCGCCTATGATCTGTGCCCGTGTCATCAAAGAAACGCCTTTCAACAAACGCGCACTACCATTGGTCCACCATCTGCGAGGCCTAACCAATAGATTTCCTGAATTTGGGGGAGTATTTGGCTTTAGCACATGATTGGCTGTTTGAACACGATATCCCGCCCATTCTTAAAGTCGTTGTAGGAAAAGCGGTTCGTCTGCAGGGCACAGCCAGGTCTCGGCGCACGTCCTCTGGCGGGGATTGGACGCACATTAGGGGGGTGAATACAACATTAATCTACGAATTCCATCATGGCAGCGACATTAATGCGTTCCCTTGTAAAGAAGAGGGTAAGAAACACAAAAGCATCGCATTTTACAGTCATACACGTAGTATATGCAACTGCAATGTTCCCAGGTCCAGAAACGTATACGATCAAGGACAAATAGTCCATGTGACATCAGTGGCTCAACCGTAATTTTACGAAGCTACGAGAATACTTTTGTGTGCAAAGAAAAAAATAATAACAATTTGTTCAGCAATTCTTCTTCCCGAGTTACCGTCTTCCGCCATTTTAGAGTGTACCCCAGAACATAATCAACGTAATCAGCGTTGTTTACATTCAGCATGTGCACGATTACATTCTGGGGTACTCCAAAATTTTTATTTTTGGGTGAACTAACCCTTTAAAGGAGTCATGACATATAAGAGGTCATTGTACTCTTAAAAACATCCTGAAAGTTTCAGAACTTAAAACTTTCTCATTGGTGTAAAAACGTCTTATATTGAAGCCAGTGTGCCAAAACGACAGATTGTGGAATGTATCCCTCTATGATGTAATAGTGAGGATAAACACCACTTCCGCAGAAGAACATTAACGCCTGCTTCTACATCGCTGCCGGTTTAGCGCCGCCCACTGATTCACGCATGCAGTGTTTACGAGAGAGGCGTACGCGCAGGTCTATGCAGAAACTAAACGATAAAGATGGCTCTGAAGACAACAAGATGCTGTGAAGTGCCAAGTTGTGGAAAAAACAGTCTTTGCATTGAATTCCTTCTGATCGCAGCATTAGGAAAGAGTGGATGAACTTTATTTTTAATGCAGTTCCAGACCGCATCAGTAAGAACTCAGTCCTTTGTTCACTTCATACCGTGAAATTTAGTAAAAAAAAAAAAAGGCACAATACGACATGAGATTTTCAGAAAGATTGAAACTAAAAGATGATGCTGTGCTGATTATATTGGATCCGATGTCGCACCACACAAGTGTGAGTAAAGGCCTTTTCACACTGAATGCAAAAAACGTCGCGAATGTTGGGCGCGATGATGATTTAAATAGAAATAATTAATCCCTAATGGGGATATTCACACCAGGCACAATCAATCACGACGTGAAAAAGTGAGGATTTTTTTTTTCGTTGTCGATTTTTATTTATTTATTTTTTTTCATCGCTCAAGCAGGTAGCGTTCAGTCCATTATAACATACAAAGAGTGCATGTCTGCCTATTATAGAATCAAAATCCATTTTAGATCACAATCAGAAGCACTCGATGATGGTTTAAAGTGGGGTTTGAGCCAAAACATTAATAATTACATACATTTTGAAATGTAGTTTGATGCTAATTGTACCTCTGATTATATTTTCAGATGTATTCTTGTAAGCATTATGGATAGTTTGTGTTTCTGATGAAGAACCAAAAGTTATTTATATTAATTTAATGCTGTGTAGAGCAGTGAATGACGTAAAAGCCTTATACGAGAGACATGGGCTACAAAAAATGCATTGCTGGTCAGCGCCACCTAGCCATGCAGGCATGAATTAGCAGAAGGCGATCAATTGTTTCACGCTTCAAGCAACGTTCGTTGGCGATTCGCCTCGCTTTTTCGCATCGCACTCGGTGTGAAACAGCCTTAAACTGTTTTATTACATGGTCACTATTGCTTTGTCTGTTATTACAGATCATTTGATGTGAGTATTTATGCGTTTTTAAACTAAAACACAACAGCATCCATCTAGGGAGGATGCAGACTGCCAAACATTCACAGCTGTTAGTCAGTCACAGCAGTGGGCATTTACTTCTGAGTCTACCCCTATTCAAACAGAGCGTTCTGATGAGGGGGTCAAAAACAGGACAGAAAATAGCCCATTACTTCTAAATGATGATGTTTTTGATGTAAAAATCTGGGTAATATTATAAGTGGACCTCAGAGAACAGTATAATATAGTAAAAAAGGCAGTTCATGACCCCTTTAATATTAATTTCTTTCTTAATTTCATCATTTTCAAACATAAACCATAAAGCTTTAAAAAAACAAAACTGCAGGGAGACCTTGAAAATTCAATTTTGTTGGGAACAGGTTTGTAAATGCTTATTACAAATATGGTGAAATGGGTGGCACAACCCAAACTCAGAGCAGATGCAGAGATGTAGTTCAAGTGGAGCAGCATTTACTGCAGACCAAGCCACTCTAAAATTCAAAGAGAAAGGAAAAATTGAAATCGCATCATATGACCCCTTTAAGACTGTAGAGTGTAGAACATTATAAGGAATAGTCAGTTACTTTCAACCCAGTGACTACAGTACGCACCAACCCATACTTACTGTTACTACAGACAATCATTTTGACTCATCCTTTAAATCCTTTAAATTGTAGACAAGCAGAATGCGTTTACAGTAAATAACCTTATAAAGGAAGTTTAAGCACCGCAAATGTGTGATATAATCAAATCTGTTTGTGTCCAGTTATGTCTAGTCATAACAAACTCAAAAATGTAAACCTAAAAAAAATCCAGAAGTTGCTCCGTCTAAAAAAAAAAAAAAAGGGGTCTCCAAGGACAGTTAGAACTTTATTGTTGGATTCACAAGTGATTTTGTTTTTTTTATGAGAATTCATGTACACTACCACTACCAAAGGTTTGGGGTCAGTAAGATTATTGTTATTATTATCATCATTTTTAAAAATGAAATTAATACCTTTTTAAAAGAAAAAAATATTCAATTAATGAAAAGGGACAATAGACATCTATGATGTTATAAAATATTTTTATTTCAAATAAATGCTGTTTTTTAAACTTTCTATTTAGAATCCTGAAAACAAGTATTATGGTTTTCACAAAAATTGTAGGCATCACAACTCTTTTCAGCGTTGCTAAAAATAAGATATGTTTTATGACCAGCAAATCAGCATCTTGGCATGATTTCTGAAAAATCATGTGACACTGATGACTGGAGTAATGGTGCTAAAAATTCAGCTTTGCCATCACAGGAATGAATTACATTTAAATGTTTTTTGTAATTTTAAATGTTAATATTTTACAGTAATTACTCTATTTTTTTAAGGTAGCCTTAGTGAACATAAGACACTTCTTTCAAAAACATTTAAAAAAAAAATCTTACCAACCCCAAACCTTTGAATGACAAAATAAGCATTGAAAATAATAAAAGGTTGAAAATAACTTGGGATTTTTTTTTTGTGCTACAGATAGTGATACAGGACCTAAGAAGGTTTTTGGCCTTATAACTGTTTGCACATTTTGTTTGTGTGCCTTCACATTATTTACTGTAGTTGTTTGTTGGTCTTGCAGAGGTGGTGGAGCACACCTGTAGTATCACATCCCTTATGCTGGGCGAGACCCTCCCCTCTATCACTAAAGACATGGACACATACACATACCGGTTGCCCATTGGCGTATGCGCCGGTATAGCCCCCTTCAATTTCCCTGCCATGATTCCACTCTGGATGTTCCCAATGGGCATGGTGTGTGGGAACAGCTATTTATTGAAGCCCTCAGAGAGGGTGCCTGGCTGCGCCATGTTGCTGGCCAAACTGCTGCAGGACGCCGGTGCTCCGGATGGAACATTAAACATAATTCACGGACAGCATGACGGTATGGAAAATTATAGAAGCAGAAGGGTTATAAATATTTTGACCACATTATGATCCAGATTCTGTGTGGAGATAACAAAATGATTTTTCCCCCATGTGTTATTATAGCTGTGAACTTCATCTGTGACCATCCTGCCATCAAAGCCATCAGTTTTGTAGGCTCCAACCAGGCTGGCGAGTACATCTATGAGAAAGGCTCCAAAAATGGCAAAAGAGTACAGAGCAACATGGTTGGTTCTGAGCATGAAGTTAAAACTGTATTGCATGTGAAAGTCTATTCAGTTATGAGCAAAAAAAAATCATACTAAAGCATCCTCTCTAAATTTAAAAGAATAGTTCACCTTAAAAATAAAAATTCTTTCATTTACATTACCCTCTTGTTGTACTAAACCCATTAAATTTAGGTTAAGCTTCGGGAAGTTTCTGTCGTTTTATTGAAACTCCAGGTAACCAGAAAGGTCATAAAGGCATCATAAACCAAATCCATATACTGTATGTAATGAGCGGTTAAAGTCTTGTCTTAATTTAGGCTTTCATTTTCTCATAAATACACATACATAGAGCACATCACATATGGTAGTCACGGAAGCTTGTTGCCGCTTGATTAGTATTAAATTAAATTCAAGTTTATTTGTATAGCGCTTTTCACAATACAAATCGTTGCAAAGCAGTTTTACAGAAAACCACATTATATTTAGTTGTAGCTTATCAGTGGTGACTATCTCAAGTTGATGTCCATATCGCAGTTAGTTAATGACATGTAGTCAAACAGACGGTGAGCACTATTAACTGCAATGATTATATGTTGCGATTAAACTTATAGCAAATATGATATGGATTTGTTTTATGAAGACGTTATGATCTTTTGGCATTTCCTAAGTTTTGGTTAACTGGACTTTCAATGGAAGGACAAACTTTACTGGTTTCATTAAAAATCTCTTAATTTTTGTTTCAATGATTAATCAAGGCCTTATAGGTTTGGAACAACATTAGTGCGAATTTTCATTTTTGAGTGATGTATTCCTTTAAGATGTCTAAACTTCTTTAAGTGAGTAGATAGTCGAAGATCTTGATGAAGAATAACTTTTATTACAGAATAGTAGTGACAAAGTACATGTAATACCTTGGGTTCAACGGAGTCAGACTGAACCCCAAACATCCTAATCTCAAACATTTTATACACTTAGAGTTTACCCTCAATGTAAAGGAAGTTGCTCCTGTTGTTACAGCTGTGGTCTGTATGTTAATTAAGTTCTGACACCCCTTTTGTCTGAGGTGGTTCTCAGTGTCCCACCCCTCCCATTCTACAATTGGTCACCATTTGCTCAGGATGTGATCATCCCAAGTGATCTACAAACAACATAACTGTTGACTTTCTTCTTCTCTATAATAATTAAGCCATTTTGGGAAATGAGCATGATCAAACATATTGTGGAGTGGAATCTGGGTCGGGGCAGACTATAGATTCTTACATTTACTTAATTCAGTTGAACATGAAAAGTGAGTTTTGGAGAACATCCTGGCCACGCTTTTCAACATACTAAAAGGTAATGAACAGATCTGTTTAATAGTGCCATATTTACACTGCAAAGGTGGCACAGAAGCGCTTCTGAAGTGGCATTTAGGTGTCGGAAGTCATCATCATCAGTCAGTAAATACTAAGAATTTACTGCAGTGCTTGAGCAATATGGGACTTTTTGTTATATCTATATGGTGTTTTTGCAATTTCTTTGGTGTATATAGAAAAAAATGGCCAAGATCATCTTCAAAAATTTACAGGGGGTGGAGTAATTGGCTAAAATAGCTATGCTAGATTTTTAGTAGCATGGCAGTAGCTCAGATGCTTTTAAACAGTGTAACTTTTCCAGTAACGAGCTACTTTTCTCCAACTTTGTAGCTTTGTTACCACTGCTCACGTATATCATTTCTCAGTACAACTTCAGTGGCCAGATGGTGGCAGCATTTGGTTACAAGTGAATCTGCATCATTCTGGTTCATTCTTAACCTTCATAATGAGGCTGCAATTTTTAGACTCAAGATTCAGGAAATTGGAGATGACTCCTTTGCATTCTTTATTGCCTTCACAGTTAGCATGAGAGACTCAAAGATGATGGACAGCAGTGTAATACATTAAACTATGGAAAAACATACACTATCATTATTCAAATGCCTTGGATTTAATACAGAAGATCCCACATCCTTTGCTCCCACTGCAGATAAACTCACTTTTCTTAAACCCCACAACTGCCCACTCCTCTACCACAATCTCTTCCAGATTATTGTAGTTTTGCAAATCAACTTGAATTTTGAATCTAAATCTTATGCCAGTCTATTAGAACTGTTTTCAAGGTCTGCGGTCCATCACATTTTCTTCACCCACTTTTACTTTGCCTGTTTTCACTCGTTGTGCTAGTGCTAGAATTTGTAGTTTGGTGAAAATGTGGAGCTGCTTCCTTACAATCTCATTTTCTGTCCACCAGGGGGCGAAGAATCACGGTGTAGTGATGCCTGATGCTAACAAAGAGAACACACTAAACCAGTTGGTTGGTGCTGCTTTTGGAGCAGCAGGTCAGAGATGTATGGCACTTTCCACTGCCGTCCTTGTAGGAGAAGCACGAAACTGGTTGCCTGAACTGGTTGAACGTGCAAAGGGTCTCCGTGTCAATGCAGGTACTTGAGATTTTTTGTGTTTTTTTTTATGTGTCTCACAAATCTGATCAAGTTTGGGCTGTGGAGCACTGTGTCCTAGTCAGGCGCAATACAATAAAGTCCAAAATATGTCCACGTTCCAGCAAGTTGTCGAATATCCCTTAGGTTGGTTGCATTGCAGCAAAAGTGTCCATCTGCACTTTCAAAGGTTGGCGCACTCAACGGTTTGTGAAATGGAGCAAAATGTGAACAATTTTACATATACCTAGAGCAATAATCCTAAATAGCTACAATGAAAGGCATGCAACAAAATTTTAGACCAATGATATTTCGTAAAACATTAAATATGCCAATTGGCTGTGGTTCTGTTAGGTCCCATATTTGTTCTCAGTAAAAAAAAAAAAGAAGCTTTTTTTTACTACAAGTTAGTTAGTACACAGTGACACAATATTGACCAATTTAGTTATTTGCATTTCTGGGACCACCAAGACTAGGAAACACTATGCTATACCAGGAAAACATGTACAATAATAGTCTCTTTAGACTATTTTTACATGACATTCATTGAATAAAATCTCTCTTCCGTAGTTCCTCTCCATGTAGAGTTTCTCTGAATTCATTCAGTTTGTTTTATCCCTCTTTTTTGGCCTTTTCGTAGACCACCCATGCCTTCATGACCACACCTCTCCCTGAGCAACTTAAAGCATGTTCAGCTCACCCAGAGGATAGACGCACTATTTGTCTTGGTCATGCCACAAAGCAGAAGTACATTTTGTGGTATAAAGGGGACCAGAAATTAGTATGGGCCGATCAAATGTTTGAAAAAAATTCTGCCGATGAAAATTGTAATCAGAGAAGCAAAACCGCAGTAGCTATTCTGAAACCCTATAACAGACCTCTAAGACCTATTGCCTCAGGGTATCTAAAATTGTGTGTGTGGCTGTGTGTTTGTTTGTATGTGTTTGGATATGCAAACAAATGATTGTGGCTTTCAGTTGTGTGTCGACTGCTTCGTCAACACATTCAATAGAATGAGCTGATTGTTCCACACTTTCCATATACAGCTGAAGCCCAACAGCAGCTTGTTCTCAAAGCAAAGATGTTCAAGTTTCTTCAACTTCAGATACTTTTAAGTCTCAGGCTTTTATTTTTATTAGAACAACTTTAAACTACTTTTTGTTACATAAATATAATATTACAACTTTTAACCATGCCATCATTTATATTTGCTACATTTCAAATGGCCTTTGTGCATTGATGTAATTGTTTAACCATTGTCACATAATCAGACTTTGAAACTTAAATTAGGAATGAAATTATAATTTTTTTCTAAATGTGTATTATTGAGTGATTCACCCAAATGTATGGTTAGTTACATTTATTTATTTAACCTCGTTAAAAATGTCATAATTGGATCTTCCAGTGAAGCGGCAGACTTTTCTCTAGTGACATATGCCAGACTTCTCCAATCATTTAGTCCACATAAATCCTGTCCTTTTCACACAGCTGAACGCAAGCTCGCATTCAGATCTGCCTCCATCCAGTGAACAGCTAATAAATTGAACAACAGATCTACTTTTTTGGTAATTTGTTTCGCTCACATGTGACATTATGGAAGAAAGATCTATTGCTTCTTCAATTTCATCACCGTTTTAAAATATGAAGATCCGTCATATGAATATATGATGTGAACATATGAATTTTAAATATTTAAATCTACAGTAATCTAAAAAGTGTAATAATCATGAATCATTTTGATATTTACTGTGTGAAAATGATTACCGTCAATTCTGTCCGAAGTACCCCTTACTCCAGTGTAATATGAAATGTGATTTAAAAAAAACAAAACCTATTTCTGTGCATCATTTGAGGTCCAGCTGTAACTGTCAGTGTATGCAAAAATATTATTTACATGTATGTAGGTTAAGAGAAAAAATCAGCCATTTTGTTAAAAGAATTCCGGCTAATAAACATCCTTTTGACAATTTGTTAGACAATTTAGGAGACAAATTAAACTTCTGATATCGTCAAATGTGTTTTTAATAGAGTCCTCCGGGCACTTAGTTGAAACCCATCTTAAAAAAAAAAAAAAAATCTACTGGGATCATTCTCTTGCTTTTGTTTGCTATCTAGTAAAGGTTAACACTCATTTTAAACTCTCCTATTTCGGGACTTTAATTGCTACATTGACAGTGAAGTGCTGTGGACATGCTCTTCAATACACACTGGAAAGGTTGGAGCTACACTTGTATGGTGAGATTTCTAGGTTTACTTTGAGCAGCGAGACTAACGTGAAGCGGTAATGTATAGAGTTTACAAACCGTCTCTCCCACATGGTGTCTAGAGACATGAGGAAAGCATACAGCTTTCTGCGGCAGACAAAAATGCCTTTGCGTCTGACGGGTACGCTGTTGTCTTAACTGTCATCAGGGTGTGAGTGTGTCAGATATGTGAGATGCAGAGAACATGACTGCTCATGAGGGCAAATGCAGCTGACCTCTGAGACATCTGTTAATGTACTGCTTGCTTTTTTTATAGATTGGCGTTAATGTACCAATCCCCGTCCCACTGCCCATGTTTTCGTTCACCGGTTCCAGAGGCTCCTTCAGGGGTGACACCAATTTCTATGGAAAGCAAGTAAGTATTTGCGACTGGATATCTGGATATTTTGCTTTGCGGAATAGGTCTATATTAGACACTAAAATACAATAGTCATTTAACTCTTTTGCTGCCAGTGTTTTAAAAAAATCTGCCAGCCACAGTCAGCATTTTTTATATTTTTTTTAACAAAATTTCTTGGCCCCCAGAATATTTAGTTGTATGAATGTCTGAACATGCAATATGTCAAAAGAAAGAACAGAGCAGCTGCATGTAAATACAATTTGACTTTACATTCTACCATGGAGCAAAAAATTTACAAAAATTAATAAATGAATAGAAAATGGAGAATTATTGGCCACATCTTCCCCAAATGAACCGGCTGAAGTTTAAAATCAGGTCACAGGCATGGTCCATTTGGTTTGCCATTTGAGTTTGGCTGTAAAATATGTTTTGGTATAAAATTTCGTCAGCCGTAGTTTGTCATAAAACAATGACTGACATGTTTTGACGCAAGTGGTTTATTGTTCCCGCCAGCGTAAGTTTGCCAGCCACCTGCCATTTCTCATGTGATGTCATTGTCATTTTGAGAGCGTATTAAAAAGAAGATGACTAATCTTGAGTCATTGTTTAGTCTTAAGTATTTTGCTATTCTTTCCATCACAGGGCATTCAGTTCTACACACAGATCAAAACTGTTACTTCGCAGTGGAAGGCAGAAGATGCTACCCTGAAGTCCCCCGCTGTTACCATGCCAACAATGGGACGTTAAGTATTAATCACCTGCATAAATTCCTCTCTGGCCCCCAAAATTCAACAATACTTTTAACTACTGTACAGATGGATATTTTCAAACATACTCTCTTAAATAATTCCAAAAATGTGAACTTTTTTCTTTCACTGTTCAATAAGTTGAAAATCAAATTAAAGCATGAATTGCTTTAGACCACTGTATGAAAAATTTGTCAAATGGTTTGCCGTTCTTACCCTGATATAGCCGAAGTTTCTGTTTCAGAAAATAATGACTCCACATTCAACACTAATTTTACTTTGGGTGTTGATGAGCTGTATTAAGTCTGCAAAAAAGTTGAGTGCAACAACTTCTACTATCTACAGCTAGCTGGCTCTTCTGAACTGTTCAACTAGCATACGTCTTGTTAAATATGAATGTCTAAATAAATATGCAACATTTGTGAACTGTTGTTGAATAGAAGACTGTTTTGGGCTGTTTGCCTCAATAAACAAGACAATAAATTTGTTCTTGTAAATCTGGTTTACTTTTACATTTACACTACAACAGTGTGCGAAAAATAAAAATTTGACCTTTGCGTTTTTCATGTACAGATGACAACAACACTTGTCGGAATGATCCGGGAAAACGACTTAAAATGCTGTATGCCAGGCCAGTAGTTGGCGATGCCACTTTGTAAAGAAACACTACATGAACAAGTAATATGTATGCGAATGAGGAACTGTTTTCGCAAATTTGAGTTTTGTAGTTTACGTAGAGGCAATAACGGTATAATTTTCAAAAACTTGTACTTTATAACCTGTTTTCAAAATTTAAAGCGCCATTGTTGCGTAAATTAATGACCAAAATGAATAAAACGTTTTCCATTTTTATTTTAAAAAGGTGTCATGTAAACGTTCCCTTAGTAGCACCTGCTAAGGTATCACTATTTTGCTTATATATCCCTATTCCCCAACTTATTCTGTGCCATGTGTACTTGTGCAACTATTATATATTTAAGTATGTTTATATTTTTTTATATATTTAACTTGTAAATTTAAAGTGCCCCTATTATGCCATTTCGAATATTGCCTTTAATGCAGTGTGAAATGTAGCTGTATGTGAATATAATCAGTCTGCAAAGTTGTAAAGCCGAAAGTGCCCAATAAATAAAGTTAATGTCTCCCAAAACAAAAGAATTGACTCTGAACAGCCTAAACAAAGTCGTCAATAATTCGAATTCCACTTCCGTGACGGCTACACGTTATGGGGTAACACATTTGCATAATGCCGCTTATGTTCTATGTTGGCTGGTCACGAACAGCTCAACCCGCCCCACAAACTCTAGCTTGTTCGTGTGGTTAACATCATGTCGAGAAGACTGTGTCCTACGCTGTGGAAGTAAATTCGTTTTATTTTCACTTCCGAAAGATGAGGCTGCAAAGAATCAGTGGTTAAAATTCTAATTCAAATTTTTTTTCCCACTGTACCACAGCAGTACAACCCCAATATTTTTTTGTGTTCCCGTCATTTTACTGACGACTGCTCCTCTAATCTTGGGGAGTTCAGTGCGGGATCCACGAAACACTTGCTCTTGAAAGATGGCTTAGTACTCAGTTTATCTGGACCAGCTGGCTCCACTGAATCACAAGTATGTAAATAATAGATGTTTGTACTTTCTATCAAGCTTTCAAAATATGGAACTATAGCAATGAGCATATAGTTTCCGACACGCTGTACGTGGTAGACTAATCACAACGGACTGGGCCATCTGACCAATCAGAGCAGAGTAGACTCACAGAAAGGAGGGGTTTAGAGAGACTGAATCTTAGAATCGATTCAAACTAATTGTTTGTGAATCGCTGGAAAATGAGATGATATTAAAAAATTTTGACCTTGCTTGCATTTAAAACTATTGTAGGAGACTCCCAAAACAATATTAGGAACCTTAAAAGTGGCATAATAGGGGCACTTTAAATTATTAAATCTAGAAATAGATGATCTGCAGATCTAGTGGGCCAATGAAGTCAGAGGTTGACGGGTTGTGATTCTTTGGCTATAAAGATGTTATGATGTGATTCCTTAACAATCCTGTTTGGGAGTCAGCACTCTGTAGTACGCCATTAATTATGGTGAACCAACATAGAGAAGATGTAAAGCTGAGATAAATTACTCTGGATCTTCATCTTACAGCTTGACTGCTCTGTCTGCTAAACAACCAACCTCAGATGGAGTAAATCTTGAAGATGCTTTGTAATTTGCATGGTGTCCTCTGGCATGGTAGTGTCTAACCCTGGATGGCTGGCACCCATGGAAAAAGCTGACAAAGCCAAGAGATGGGCTGGTTTCTTATGTGGGTGAAGAAAAATGCAGAGACAACATAAAATGGTTTTAACTGTGGGGAGGATATACATTACCTGTTACCATTTAACTTTTAAGTTATTTCACTGGATACTAAAAGTATTTACATTTCAATCTCTTCAATCCAATATCCTACATTATTTACAACTTAAGCATCAGTGACATTTTTAATGACCACAACGAAAATTTTGTAATTTTCCTAATCTCCTTCCAAACTTCCAGAATTACTTTCTATGAAATGCTCAAAATAAAAGTCAGTAGGGTCCAGTGTTAATTTGGACCTTGCCAGCTTGCATTATATGGACAAAATAACTTGAAATCCTTGAAATTTCCTTTGTATTCCACAGAAGAAAGTAAGTCATGACATGAGGATGAGTAAATAATTACAGCTTTAGGTGAACTATTGCTAAGGATACAACAGGGGTGTGACATAATGTAATCTGTAAATTATGTCTCTTCACACTCAACCCACAGGATTTACATGGATAAAACAAACCCAGAAGTTCTTCAACCCAGAAAAGTAGTTCCACCTTAAGCTTCATTAACACACATTTCTTATTTACAAACAATTCATAAACGTGCTTTAAACAAATACAAGTTTCACATTTATGCTTCTTAATGCTTTGGCCTACTGACCTGCTTTGACTGCTGCAAAGTACTGTATGACAATCAATGTGTTTTCCATTCATTTTTACAAACTGAAGGATGAGTCAAAATTCTTTAGTAATCAACCGCCTGCCACAAATGCTGGCCACTGAATAACCAAGAATATTCCTTGTGTCCGCAACTCAGCATGATCTAATTAGGTTATCCTGCTTTCTCTAGATAATCTACAAATAATTTGAACGTACAAAATGTGCATGAGAAGCTAAGTGGGATGTTCAAATTCTGCATGCAGATGTTTCTTGTGGTGGGTATGTCAAGGCCAGTGCAGCCCTATTTTTACCCTTAACTCCTCTACCTCTATTCAGCTAAATGGACTGTCAAAGTCAACTTTGCTTCATGCCACCCTTACATTTACCCTTAAAAGAGAAGGTTACTTAAAGAGAACCAAGTGATAACTGGGTACAACAGTACATTTACAGTACATTAACTAGGATTGAAATTGACAAGAGCTGTCTTATGCATCTTTAAAAAAAAAAAATGCTTTTGTCATTCCAAGTAACGCTCTCGGTTACTCACTAACCAAGAATATTCCTTGTGTCCGCAACTCAGCATGATCTAATTAGGTTATCCTGCTTTCTCTAGATAATCTACAAATAATTTGAACGTACAAAATGTGCATGAGAAGCTAAGTGGGATGTTCAAATTCTGCATGCAGATGTTTCTTGTGGTGGGTATGTCAAGGCCAGTGCAGCCCTATTTTTACCCTTAACTCCTCTACCTCTATTCAGCTAAATGGACTGTCAAAGTCAACTTTGCTTCATGTCACCCTTACATTTACCCTTAAAAGAGAAGGTTACTTAAAGAGAACCAAGTGATAACTGGGTACAACAGTACATTTACAGTACATTAACTAGGATTGAAATTGACAAGAGCTGTCTTATGCATCTTTAAAAAAAAAAAAATGCTTTTGTCATTCCAAGTAACGCTCTCGGTTACTCACTTAACCTCGGTTCCCTGAGATGAGGGAACGAGACATTGCTCTTATTGCCGTGTCACCTAGCTCAGGATCTTAGAATGTCAAGTTGCTTCAGTCAAGATTCTGAATAGATGACGTAAAAGCGCTGCTTTATATAGAGCGGGAGCCCCTCATATTTTGCGCGCTGGAACGCCATTGGCCAGTTTCATTGGCGCGATTCAATAAGGCTTCAGTAGTATTTGGAGAAAAGGGTATTTCCCATAGCAATGTATTGTGACCGAATCGAAAGGGAACTACTTATATAGAAGCTTCGTTCTTTCAATTTTTGCATTTTTCCCTCTTAAGGCCAATTCACACCACACCGACAGACGCCAACAGACTAGTCTGTCGGAGTTTGTTGGATCAGTGTGTTACCCCTGTTGCCGTTGGTCAGAGTTGGTTTTAACCCGACTGAACATGTTTAATCGGCGTTTGTTGGGTCGTGGAATGTCTGAGCAGTGTGATAGGATTTTCCAACAAACTACAACAAACTCTGACGTAATCTGGCCTGGACAAACCAGAAAGAGGAACAGTTTTTGGATCTTTGGGAGGAGAGGCCAGATCTTAATGCGGTGGGTGTGGCCGAGTATACCAACCGCAACGCGAGGGGGAATGCGATCAGATTGATCGCTACAGCGCTTGGGAAATTTCACAACGGAAATTTATTTGACAATATATTATTATTATTATTATAATAAAACTGCCTTACAATATTACCAAAGACATTAATAACAGTATCATTTTGATTGTTGTTACAAGATCATCCATTTTTCCCCCTAGTTAACTCTCCCTGACTTGAAGTCTGTTGGTGTCTGTTGGGGCAGTGTGAATTGGCCTTTAAACAATTGCATTATGTATGGTACCATTACCCAGGTGAAAAAAGTGCACTTCCATAATGTATTTAGATATCACTTGTTGTACACTTGAGTGTACTAGTGTATGAAAGATAGGTCGAAGTGTACTACAAGTGGTAACTAAATAAATGTTTTAAATGTAGAGATAGTATGTTAAAAGCACATTTTAGTTCTTATTCATGCAAAATAGCACAGTTGAGTACACTTAGGTGATCTTAAGTTTATCATAAGTACTAAAGAATCATTTTTAGTATATTAAGTACAAAATTAGTGTGTGGAAATAGAGCACTGTAAGTACATTATGGAAGGGCACTTTTTTCACCTGGGTAAGCTGACAGTTAATTTTATTGACTACCTGAATGGTGAGTATCTCCCTTGTCTTTAGGCCCATTCGCACCGCTTTAGTTCCAGAACTAAATGTACGGTACTAAAGTACTGGGACGATTTTGCGCGAACTATTTCCCAGTACCATTTAAATGGTTGCATTCGCACCGACAGTGTGTACTAGGAAGTTGACATAAGCCGGTCGACAGCATCGTCATTTGTGCGCGGCGTTCAACAACAGAAACAAAGAAGAACAACATTAACAACAGGAGGATGGGAGGACGCTATGATCGGAGCTGTGTTTTTGTTGTGTCTCGCGGGTTTCACAGTGGACATGGAAAGTCAACGTATACATAAAGCGATTGAAAGAACGGAAAG